GAGAGTCCCAAAAAAGTTGAACCCAAAGAGGTCCACACCAAGACACATCATCATCAAAATGCCAAAGGTTAAATACAAATAGAGAATCTTAAAAGCAGCAAGAGAAAAGCAGCCCGTTACCTACAAAGGAGCTCCCATAAGACTGTCAGCTGATTTCTCAAAAGAAACTTTGCAGGCCAGAAGTGGCAAGAGATACTCAAGATGATGAAAAGCAATGACCTACAATGAAGATTACTCTATCCTGCAAAGCCATCATTTAGAATCAATGGACATATCAAGAGTTTCCCAGACAAGAAAAAGCTAAAGGAATTCATCACCACCAAACCAGTGTTATATGAAATGTTGAAGGGTCTTCTTGAAGGTGAAGAAAAACAAAAATATGGACAATAAAATGACAGTTAATACATATCTATCGACAATTGAATCTACAAACAAAATGAGCAGGCAGAACAGAAAGAAACTCCTAGATACAGAGAAATTTTTGTTGCTTACCAGATGGGTGGGTGCTGGGGCATGGGTGAAAAAGACGAAGGAATTAAGAACAAATTGGTTGTTAGACTGATGAACCTCAAAGGGAAGGGAGGAGGAAGGGCAGAATGAGATAAACCAAAGAACTTCTATGCATAAATGCATAACCAACGGACACCAACAATAGTGTGAGGGAAGACAGGAGGGGGGTGAGTTTGGGGAGGATGGGTCAATGGGGAAAAAAGGAAGAAACATCTGTAATACATTCAACAATAAAGATGAGTTAAAAATAAAAAATAAAAAATATATATAAATGTTTTTTATTGTAACTCTTCCATCTAACTTAAAAGATGATGGCAAAAAGCAATAATTATAAATTTATATATAGATGGGCACATAATTTACAAAGGAGTAGCTTGTCTGAAAATAAGAACGAAAGGAAGTGGTGAGGAAACAAAAGCTATATAGAAGCAAAGTTTTGTGTACCTCTTGAAATTAGGTTATTATTACTCTAAACTAATTTGTTATTAGATATTAACTATCCCCCAAACCAAAACTACAAAAGTAATTTTTAAAATATGTAGTAGAAAAAACAATTAAAATATAAAACTATAAAATATCATTTAACACACACAAAAAAGATAGTAATGAAGGAATAGAGGCACAAAGAGGACTTCAAACATGTAAAGAACAAATAGCAAAATGGCCAGCATAAATCCTATTTTATCAGTAATTGTGGCAAATGTAAATACTGTAAATAGTCCCGATAAAAAGCAAGGATTGGCAGAATGGATTTTGAAAACATGATCCAACCATGTGCAGTCTACAAGGGACACACTTTAGATTCAAAGGCACAAATGGAGTGAAAATAAAACAGTCATCAAAGAAACCTGGAGTGAGTATCCTAATATTGACAAAACAAACTTTAAGATAAAAGTTGTTACTAAAGGCAAAGGACATTTTATAATACAGTCAATTCATCTATCAAAAAGATATCATTATAAACATATATGTACCTAACAGCCACCCCCAAAATACATGCAGCATAAACTGACAAAATCATAGAAAGACAGAATTCAACATTAACAGTTGGAAATATCAACACCATACTCAATAATGATGGCACAATTACATTGAATATTAACAAGATAATAGAAGACTTGGACAACACTAAAAACCAACCAGATCTAACAGACATCTACACAAAGCAATAGCAGAATATACACATTCTTTTCCAGGACGCATGGAATATTATCTATGACAGACCATGTGTTAGGCTATAAAATATATCTCAACAAATTTAAAAGGACTGAAATTAGGTTATTAGTACACCAAACAAGTTTTTTATTAGATATTAACTATCCAGACAAAAACTAAGAAAGTACTTTTAAAATATAAAGAAACAACAAAGAAATAAAAATATTAAATTAAAAAGTATCCATTTAACACAAAAGAAGATAGTAATGGAGGAATAGAGGCCCATGCATGCAAAGTATGTTCTCCAACAACAATGTAATGAAATTAGAAACGAATAATAGAAGAAAATTTAGCAAATTTGTAGAAATTAAATAACACCTCCTAAATAACCAATGGGTCAAAGAAGAAATCACAAGGGAAGTTAGAAAGTACTTTGAACCCTGGCTGGTTTGGCTCAGCAGTTGGGAGTGTCGGCACAGGTTTGATTCCCAGTCAAGGGGGATTCCTAGTCAAGGGCATATACCTGAGTTGCAGGTTCAATCCCCAGCCCCAGCCCCAGCTGGGTTGGTGCAGGAGGCAACCAATCAATGTGTCTTTTTCACATTGATGTTTCTCTCTCTCCCTTCCTCCCTTCCACTCTATCTAAAAATCAATGGAAAAAGCATCCTTGAAGATTAACAAAAAAAACAAAAAACTTTGAGATGAATTAGACAAAAACAAACATACCAAAACATGAGATGGAACTTAAGTAGAGCTTAGAGGGAAATATAAAGTTGTAAATGCATACCTTAAAAAAGTAAAAATATCTCAAATTCATAATCTAACTTTACATATTTTTGAAAAACTAGAGCCCTGGCTGTTTTGGCTCAGTGTCAGCCTGTGGACCAAACAGGCACAGGTTCGATTCTGGTCAAGGGCATGTATCTCAGTTGCAGTTCAGTCCAGCCCTGGTCAGGGTTATGTGGGCAACCAATCGATATGTCTCTCTCACATCAATGTCTCTCTCTCTCTCTCTCTCCCTCTCTCTCTCTCCCCCTCCCACTCTGTCTGAAAATAAATGGAAAAATATCCTTGGGAATTTTTTAAAAAACTAGGAAAATAAGAGCAAACTAAACCCAAAACAAGGAGAATAAAAGAAATACTAAATACTACAGTGGAAGTAAATGAAACAGAATGGGAAAATTGAGGGGGGAAATCAATGAAACCAGAAAGTAGTTCAAAAGAACAAAAAATGACAAATCTTTAACTAGACTAACACAGAGTGAAAAAGACTTAAGTTATTAAAACTGGGAATGAAAGTAGGAACATTACTACTAAGCTTACAGAACTAAAAAATATTAAAGACTAGATGAAGTATGCCAACAAATTAGATAATCTAAAAATGGGTAAATTTCTAGAAACACACAAACTACCAAAAGTGACTCAAAAATAAATAGAAAATATTAATAGAGCTATAATAAGTAAAGAGATTGAATTTTTAAAAGAGAAGCTTAGGCCCAGTTGGCTTCACTGGTGAATTTTCCTAGAAATTTTTTCCTAGAAATTTAACAGCAACTCTTTACAAACTCTTCCAAAAAGTAAAAGAGGAGAGCCCTGGCCAGTTTGGCTCAGTGGTTAAGGCGTGGGTCCACAGACTTAAGGATCTCGGGTTCGATTCCAGGTCAAGGGCACATATTTGAGTTGCAGGTTCAATCCCCAGGCCCCAGTTGGGGTCATGTGGGAGGCAACCAATAGATGTGTCTCTCTCCCATCAATCTTTCTCTCTTCCTGTCTCTCTCTCTTTCATTCTCCCTTTTAAAAAAATCAATGGAGCCCTGGCCGGTTTGGCTCAGCGGTTAGAGCGTCGGCCTGCGGTCCGGAGAGACCCGGGTTCGGTTCCCGCTAAGGGCACGTACTTCGGTTGCAGTTTGTCCCCAGCCCTGGTTGGTCGTGCGGGTGGCAGCCACTCGATGTGTCCCTTCACGTCGATGGTCGATGTTTCTCTCTCTCTCCCTTCCTCTCTCTCCCTCCCACTCTATCTGTACAAAAAAAAAAAAAAATCAATGGAAAAAGATCCTCAGGTGAGGACTAACAACAACAAATTGTTTAAAAAAATAAATAAAAGAGGAAGAAACTTTTTTTTCCCAATTACAGTTGACATTTAATATTATATTAATTTCAGGTGTATGAGGAGGGAACTTTCTAGCTCATTCTACGAATCCAGCATTACCCCTTGATACCAAACCAGACAAAGACAATACAAGAAAAAGAACAAATCAGTATCACTCATGAATATATACGCAATAATTCTTAACAATTTCTTGGAAACAAAATATATCAACATATGAACAGGGTTATACATCGTGACCAATTAGCATTTAACCTAGGAATACAAGGGTGGTTCAACATATGAAAGTCAATATTAGTACGCCATATTATAGAATAAATATAGAGGAAAAGAACACATCATGTCAATAAATGCAGGAAAAGCATTTGACAAAATCCAGCACATTTCCATGATAAAAAGAAACATTCAATAAACTTATAATCAAAGGGAACTTTCTTAACCTGATAAAGGCAGCTATGAAAAAACCCATAGCTAGCATCACACTTAATGGTAAATGACTGCAAGTATCCCCACTAAGATCAGGTACAAGACAAGGATGTCTCCTCTTGTCACTTTTGTTCAGTATAGTATTGGAAGTTCTAGATAGGTTAATTAGGCAAGAAAAAGAAATAAAGGCATTCAGATTGAAAAGAAAGAAGTAAAACCATCTCTATTTGCAGATGACATGATCTTAAATGTAGAAAATCCTAAGGAAATCTACACACACACAAATTAGAGTTAATAAGGTTCAGCTAGTTTGCAGGATTAATATACAAAAATCAATTGTATTTCTATACACTAGCAATAAACTATCCAAATTCAATTTAAGAAAATATTTTCATTTGCAATAGCAACAAAAAGAATAAAATACTTAGGAATAAATTTAACAAAAGTATAATACATATGCTGAAAACTATAAACAAATTTAGAGAGTATCTAATAAACTGAAAAACAATCCATGTTCATGAATTGGAAGACTGAACATTGTTAAGATTGACAAAACTCCACAAATCCATTTACAGATTCAGTGATATCACCATTAAAATGTAAGCTGCCTTTATTGACAAACTGATTCTAAAATTCATATGGAAATGTAAGAGATCCCAACTAGCCAAAGTAATCTTGAAAAAAATTAAGGAAGAAATTTGGAAAACTCACACTTCCCAGTTTCAAAACCTACCACAAAGCTACAGTAATCAAGTCTATGTTGTGCTGGGATACAGATAAACACAGATCAAAGGAAGAGAACATAGCTCCTTGGACTTTTGACAGAGATCAAGTGTAGTATCTGTTCTTATCAGTTTACTATCTGATATGTCCTCTATCTGAGGACAACATATTAAATGGGTTTGGGGGATTAGGGGATGGAATAGGAACTTGCTCCGTTCACTCCACAAATCAACCTGGTATTGCAGTACTTCAAGGAATGGTGCACGGAAAGAAAAAAAAAAAATGAAGATAATTCAGAGTCCACAAATAAACCTCACATTTGTGGTTGATTGATGTTTGACAAGGATGTTAAGAGTGGTGAATGGGGAGAGAATAGTCTTTTCAAAAAATGGTGCTGGGATAACTGGACATCCACATTCAAAACAATAAAATTAGACCCCCTACTCACCATTTACAAAAATTAACTCAAAATGAATAAATGTATAACCTAAAATAAGAGCTAAAACTATAAAACTCTTAGAAGAAAACACAGGGTATGTCTTTATGATCTTAGATTAGGCAATGGATTCTTAGATATGATACTTAAAGCACAAACAACCAAAGAAGAAGTAGATAAATTAGACTGTTTCAAAATTTAAAACTTTGTTCTTTGAGTCTATCAAGAAGTGAAAAGACAACCTACAGAATGGGAGAAAATATTTGCAAATCATATCTGGTAAGGATCTAGTATCTAGAAAATATAAAGAACTCCTACAACTCAACAATAAAAATACAAATTACTTGATTTTTTAAAAATGGGCAATGGGTTTAAATAGACATTTTTTTTCAGTGAAGGTATACAAATAGCCAATAAGCACACACAGAAATGCTTATCATAATTAGTCATTAGAAAAGTATATCAAAATACAACATTGGCCTTTGCACCCTCTGGATGGCTACAATCCCAAAATGGACAATAGCAAGTGTTGTAAGCTGCATGATAAAATAGTTTGGCAGCATATTTGTTTCCTATTGCTACTGTAAAAATTACCACAAATTTAGTGGCTTAGAATAACACACACTTATTCCCTTATAGTTCTGGAGGTTAGAAGTTCATAATCAGTTTCACTGGACTAAAGGCAGGGTATTGTTGGGCTGGTTCTTCCTGCGGACTCCTTGTTGAGAATTTTTGCCTTTTTCAGCTTCTAGTGGAGCCACCTGTGTTCCTTGTCTTGCGACCTTTCCCTCAATTTTCAAAGCACAGCACACTAATCTCTGCTCTGCCATCATGTCACCTGCTCTGACTTGTCCTTTATCCTTCCTATTATAAGGATCGATGTGATTACATTGGCTCATCTAAATGATCCAGGGTAATCTCCCCATCTCAAGATCCTTAACTTAGTCACATCTACAAAGTCCCTTTTGTCATATAAAGTAACATGCCCAGGTTCTGGGGATTAGGAGACGGAGACATTTAGGGGGTCATTATTCAGATTACCATAGACCGTTCCTCAAAGAGTTAAACAGAGTTACCATATGATTCAGCAATTCCATTCCTAGGTATATACCCAAGAGAACTAAAAACATATCCACATAAAAACTTATATACAAATGTTTGCAGTAGCATTGTTCAGAATAGTCAAAAAGTGGAAACAACCTAAACATCTGCCAACTAATGAATGGATAAACAAAAGGTAGTACATCTATACAATGGCATACTATTCAACCACAAAAGGAATGAAGTAATGATACATACTATACCATGAATGAACCTTGAAAACATTATGCTGAGTGAAAGAAATCAGACACAAATGGCCATCTATTGGATGATCTCATTTATATGAAATATTCAGAACAGGTAAATCCATAGAGACAAAGTAGATTTGTGATCTCCAGAGGCTAGGGGGAAGGAAGACTGAAGAGTTTATGCTTAGTGGGTATAGGGTATCTATTTGAGATGATAAATATGTTCCGAAATTTGGTAATGGTGATTGTGGCACAACCTTGTGAATATACAAAAAACTACAGGGAGGGAGGGAGGGAGGGAGGGAGGGAGGGAGGGAGGGAGGGAGGGAGGAAGGAAGGAAGGAAGGAAGGAAGGAAGGAAGGAAGGAAGGAAGGAAGGAAGGAAGGATGGATTTGGTTGTTACAGAATAGTCATGGGGTGGAGGAGAGTGTTCAATGGAGGGGAAGGGGTAGCATCTGTAATACTTTCAACAATAAAGATAAAATTTTAAAATAATAAATAAAAGAAAGAATTGGAGCACTTAGAGCTAGGCAGTCCGTTTGTCACCACATTCAGCTCTTAGAACATGCTTAAAGCCTCTGATTTCACTTTTACAGATGTAACAAGCCAGGAAAGTTAAGATCACATGGCTAGTAAATAGTATCAGCTGGTTTTTACCTCCTACTCTTTCTCCTACTACACCACACCTAGAAAAATAGTCAGTTTTCCTCCCAACATAAAGGAAGATCATTTACACACTGGGCAGGCCAGGATTCTCAGCTGTAAAGTCATCTGAGCAAGGCATCCCATTGTTCCAAATCTGGGCACATCTTCATTGGTGCTGACTAGTTCCTGAGGAGCAGGCCTGAGCCGTCCAACTGTGGGGATCCATGAGGGGGAACCCCCATGCTCCTGGTGTCACTGACCATTTTAACTGTTAGGGAATCAGTCTATAGGTTATTCAAGTCTTGACCAAGATTTTACTTGGACACCAGACCAAGGGAGATTAAAATGAAAACAACCCTTTTCTTTTTTTTTTTTTTTCTTTTCAATTTTTTTTCTTTATTACTTTTTAGAGAGAGAGAGGAAGGGAGAGAGAGAGAGAGAGATAGAAACATTGATGAGAGAGAACACTGACTGGCCGCCTCCTGGGGATTTTGGCCCACAACCTGGGCATGTGCCCTGATCGGGAATCAAACCAGCAATCTCTTGGTACATGGGTCAATGCTCAACCACTGAGCCACATCAGCAAGGCATTCTTTTCTATTTATTTATTTGTTTGTTTTATTTTTTAATCCTCACTGGAGGCTATTTTCCCATTGATTTTTAGATAGAGTAGAAGGGAGGGAGTGGGGGAGAGAGAGAGAAACATCAGCATAAGAGAGACAGATCAATTGGCTGCCTCCCACACAACCCCAACCCAGGCTGGGGATTGAACCTGCAAACCAAGTATATGCCCTTGCCCGAGAATCAAACCCAAGACCCTTCGGTCGACAGGCTGATGCTCTAACCACTGAACAACCTGCCAGGGCAACCCTCTTCTTTTTATATCAAGTAAAACTCACAGACTTTATAGCATTGAGGATCCTGGGGAAATGATCTAACTTTTATAGCTAAATGAGTTTTAGGAAGCATTAATTATAAGTTAATATACTTTATTAAGATACTTCTGGTTTCTCTGCAAAAGACCCCAAATAGCCACATAAATCTTAAGAAAGAACAAAGTTGGAGGAATCACAAACTATATGATATCATATAGTTTGATATCAAACTATACTTCAAGGACACAGTAATCAAAACAGCATGGTACTGACATAAAAACAGCTCTCTATGCTGATCAATGGAATAGAGAGCTCAGAAATAAACCCACAGCTGTATGTTCAATTAATATTTGACAGAAGAAGGCAAGAACATACAAGGGGGTAAAAAAAGTCTATTCAATAAATGGTGTTGGGAAAACTGGACAGATACATGCAAAAAGAAATGAAACTAGACCACCTTCTTACACCACATACAAGAATAAACTCAAAATGAATTAAAGACTTAAATGTAAGACTCAAAACCATAAAACTCCTAGAAGAAAAAATAAGCTGTAAAATCGCAAACATTTTTCTTAGTAATATTTTTTCTGATGTATCTCCTCAGGCAAGGAAAATAAACAAATGCAACTACATCAAACTAGAAGTTTTTGCACAGCAAAAGAAAGCATCAACAAAATTAAAAGACAACCCACTGAATGGGAGAACATATTCACCAATGATACATCTGATAAGGAATTTCCAAAATTTATAAAGAACTCATACAACTCAACACCAAAAAATAATTAGACACTTCTCCAAAGAGGAGATGCAGGTAGCCAATAGACATATGAAAAGATACTCAATGTCACTAATCATTAGAGAAATGAAAATTCAAACCACAATGAAATATCACCTCACAACTATTAGAAAGGTTATTGATAAAACAAAACAAGTGTTGACGAGGATGAGGATGTGGAGAAAAGAGAACCCTCATGCACTGTTGCTGGGAATGCAGATTTGTACAGCCATTACAGAAAACATTATGTAGATTCTCTCAAAAATTAAAAATAGAACTGCCTTATGACCCAGCAGTTCCACTTCTGGGTATATATCTGAAAACACGAATTCAAAAGAATATATGCACCCTATATTTATTGCAGCATTTGTGTTATCTTTTTTTTTTTTTTTTACACTAGTCAAGCTATGGAAGCAAGCCAAGTGCCCAACAATAGATGAGTGAATAAAAAAAAGTAGTGGTAAATATATACAATGGAAAACTACTCGGCCATAAGAAAGGATGAACTCTTACCATTTGCAACAGCATGAAAGGATATTATGCTAAATGAAATAAGTCAGTAAGAGAAAGACAAATACCATATGATTTCACTTATATGTGGAATCTAAAGGACAATATAAATGAACAAACAAAATAGAAACAGACTTAAATACAGAAAACAAACTGATGGTTGCCAGAAGGGGAATTAGGTGAAAAAGGTGAAGGGATTGAGAAGTACAGATTGGTAGTAACAAAACAGTCATGAGGATATGAAGTATAGCATAGGAAATATAGTCAGTAATAATGTAATAACTATGTGCCAGTTGGGTACTGGAAATATGAGGGGGAACATTTTGTAAAGTATATGATTGTCTAACCACTATGCTGTACACCTGAGAATAATACACAATAATATTGAATGTAAATTGTAATTGAAAAATAAAATGTAAAAAATATATACTTCTGGTTTCTTGAACAAGCCATGTAATTCTTGCTTAAAAATAGGGTCATTGTGGTGTTATCTGGCAAGCAGGGACACCTTTGGGGCCTATAGAGCCAATTGTACTGTTGCCCCCATCGCCAATTGTCCCCTCCCTGTGGATTCTTCCTTCTCATCTCCTGGCCCTCCATGCTTCTCTCCACATGCAGGGCTTAATTCCTTTGCTCTAATTGGTTTCCTTTAGTCTGCAGTGGTCTTGGAAGCCAGACAGCCATATACTTGTTGGAAAGGGTGTAAGAGTGAGTTGGCTCTAGATGGTGTCCCAACTGG